ATTCTGTCCAGTCGTGTACAGTACAAGAAATGCCTTCGGCTAAATAAATCATTTCTATCTGTAAATTAAATACACATATTGTCAACATATCGTATTAACATATTATTAATGTTGCTTTTGCAAAAAGGTTTTTACAAAAAATTTTCAAAAAGTATGTAAATATTTAAGGAAATTATCGATTAGGCAAACACAGTTTCTTGATTTTTATAGAACTTGTAACATTTTAGACTTTGATGTCCTTCAGAATACATTCATCCTTAAAACCCTACTTTAGTAAGTGTGTGTATGTAAGTGTACACACTCTCGAAATCCGAACAAATAAAATGTCACTGACTCAAATCATGCCAAAATTAAGCCTCAGTAAGCTTTTCAAGTAGAAATATTAATCATTCATATTTAGAAAATATGTAAAAAAAAAAAACAATTTAGAAAATACATCATTCATATACAAACACTCACTGAAGTAGAGTTTAAAAAATGAATGGGAGTGATATTCAGAGTCAAAGTAGTTTAAGTTCTAAGAATATTTACCTCTTCCCCATCTTCATCTACTTTTATCCATTTGTCGCCAAATAACATTTTCTCTTCCTTCTTTCCATCGTTTGTTCTATTTTTCTTCTCTTTTTTTTCTTTTTCTGTTTCTTTTTCCGAATCTGTAGCATCATCTTCCGATTTGCTTCCAAATTGCTTTTTTTCCGTTCTCGCCTTTTTGTTACTCTTTTTTTCTGTTTTCTCAATTTTTCCGTCTTTTTCATCTTCTGATTCTGTATTTTTCCGTTTCCTATTGTCTTTCTTTTTCTTTATCTGTGCATTATTCTATACAATAATTGAAATAAGAGAGGTTATTGAAATAAATAAAAAAGGTCAATTATAATTATGTGAACACTATAGTAGGTAGTTGTAAGTAGTAAAAATACGTACCATTTTATTCTTTTTTATTTTATTGTCTGTATCACTTTCTTTACAGTTTTCATTTTGTGTTGAACTATTATTAAATAATTGCTTGCTCAAGTGTTTTATACTTTCGTGGAAGGGATAGTTTTTACTTTTCTTGGGAGTTACATCCTCATTTATTGGAAAAGATGCTGCCTACAAATTTAATAAAATATTACTTGTAAAAAATAATTGCATTCTTTTTTAAATATATATTAAATATAAAATATATATTATGGGTATTTTAAATGCATTTATAAAGATAAATATGCAGGTTTTATTGTCCAGATTTCTTTATTAATATATTAACTACTAAAAGGACTTTTACAGTAGAAATTTTTTTCATTTTAAATATAAAATTTTTTTAGTAAATTGAAAAAGTTCGATTATTTTACTTATAAAAAACCATGGGGTAAAATAGACAATTTTCCTTTACTTAAGTTCAACAAATATGATAATAGCTAAAATATGATTGCTTTACGTAGGCCTACTTTTCCCTGGTGCACTCGTTGCTTTGATGCTCTTTTTTTCATTACACAATTTAAGCTTATCATACAACCTGGTTGAAGCTATTTAATACTATTCAAGTCGACTTTTATAGTTTGTGATTTGCTGTATAACGTAAAATTCATAATTTTTTAATAAAATGAAACAATTTTTATTTATTTTAATCAAAAAGGAAGACTAAAAAATAAAAAATATTGTAAAAATATTGAGTATATCAAGTAACTTGATACAAATTTTAAAAAGTTACGTAGACATATTTTGGACACGTATGAGGTGATAAAAATCCCTTATGATTCAAACAAAGGGATGATTTACTTTTTTTTGAGGTCTACTTTGCCCCATGTTTCCTGCATTAATTAATTATGAATAAACAATTTGGACTTGTAATAATTTGTATACATTATTGTTGTACAATTGTAATTGACTAATATGCTTTTCAGAAGCATAATGTATTTTGCGCACATATTAACCATTATATAAATAATATTTTACTATTGAATAAATGTGTTGTTTCCTTCGTTTGGCAGTTCATTCCATGTCTTTTGAGATTGTGGTGCTATACAAGAACAAAATACATATTTTTTAAATTCATGTCACATATAACTATAAATTTCTTTGAATTTATTCTGATAATTGTATTAATCATTAACATGCAATTATATATTATTTTTCAAGGAGAGTGCACGGTCTCCGAGTCATAAATTTTGCTGAACTCAAAGAATATTGTTTTTGGATGAAATTTATGGCACTCATGACTGCCTCTGAAGGTTTAGTTTAATAGGCTATAAAATTACTCTTATGAGTATTAAGTGAAGATTTACGTGACTGTCATCAGATATAACAGATAAGAGGTTGTAATATAATTACGAGCCTTGAGTATTTAATGGATTACGTGAATACTACCAGATATGACCTTAAAACTTTGGTCTAGTTACTTTGATAAGTCTTTATATTTTATTTTTAGTTACATTTATGCAATCCTATCATTACCCGGAGCCTGTACACTCTCGTTTTTAATCTTTACATACTTGTTAATGGAGTCGATTTGTTGCACTTTTCAAATCCATCAATAAAAGATTTCTAAAAATAATTTTTTGTGTATGCAAGTGTATTTAAATAAAAGATCAGTTTATATAAATTTGTTTATAATAATATATCTGATTTACGTAACTTAGACTACGTTTACATGGTGCAGAATGTGCATCATATGATGTATCATTTAAACCCATAATAGTAATAGATGGCTTGATTCTCCATACCTCTTTTACTTACAAGTACTTATAGGTTTAAATGAGATTTCACAAAACACATTCCGCTCCAAGGCTCTTTATGGTATCTTAAAAATGCATGATATTGTATAAATAAACATACGGTAGACAGATGTAGATAAAATAAAAGTTAATTTAAAACATTTTCTAATATAGAAGCTTATATTGTATTGTGCACTCCTATGATAAAACAACTGAATCAAAATGAACTATTTGGTATCATATTATTCCAATCAGATGATGCAAAAAAATATCGTTTCTTAAGGTGCCAATTCATGAGACGCTGAAAATGAGCGTCAACAAGGTGAACGTGGTGGTTTCGCTTTGACGCTAGCGTCAAAGAAATGAAGTTGAATTTGTTTAATATTCAGCGTCGTCGCTGAATCGTCGTTAATCGTCCCAGTACAATCAAACATAGACTTCAAAATACGTAAAATATTAATTATTTTCAAGTAATATCTTCAAGTAATAATATTTTATGAATATATATATATAAATAAAAGATATTATTTCTGAAGATTTTTACTTGCTAAAAATGAGCGTCGAGCGTTAACGTGAAAAGGCACCTTTATCCTTACTGATAACAACTGACGTACGTTTGCTCTTTCTGGGGAAGTATCATTTTTTGCTATTGATGATCCTGCAACGTCCGTCTCTTTGGCACCAAGTACATCTTTCTTTATTTGCAAACTATTTTTATGACTGGGTAATTGTACCGATTTACCTGCATGATGCAACAGATGTCAGAAATTTTTGTATGATTCATTCGCATTTAATATATTTTATTTTTTTTTTTTTTGCAAATTAATAAATGAAATTATTTACCTTTATGGCTTATGTCTTCTTCATTAGATAAAAATAACTTCATCTGTAGTCGTTCATTTAGAATTTGTAATGTATTCAATCTTTCGTTCACGTAATTATATTTAGTTTTCAGAGAACTATTCTCTTTCTGCAATTTTTCAACTTTGCATAGCAATTTATCATATTCATTTTTACTGACCATGGAACTGCTACTCATGGCGGGTAAATTGAAATCTTGTTTATTTCCTAAAGTAGAATCTACTGTTCTATTTATAAAAGTTTCCATTTTTCTTTTCAAAATTTCTTCTTGAGCAGCTTTTTCAGCTGCTGCGATTTTGGCCTGTTTCTAAAAAAATTTTGTAAAATTTTTTACATAGAATCTTTCCATCAACTTTTAATTTTTAGTACAGTACATCTGAGGGCTCAGACGAAAAATATACACAGAAATTATGCTACAATTAGGTTTTTCGTAGAAAAAAATAAAAAATTTCAGTTTAATTTTTTATCACATTTTTCTCTTGCAAAATTATAGTATCCATATACCAAATATATATGAAATATAAACTAACAGCTTTTTGATTTGTTTTTCCTTCTTTCTGAATATTTTTATTTATTTCAACATCTTCTTCACTATGTACATCTTTATCATCTTCGATCTCGCTGTCTTCTGCATAGTAATCATCTAATATAGTATTACTAATTCTTTTAAAAACACCTTTTTTATTTTTAAATTTTTCCATGTCTTCTGCATTGGTTATAACTTAAAAGAGAAAATTACTTTTACTACATTTTCATAATAAGTTGTGTCTAATATTGACCACAAAAGTTACTGATATATTAATAAAAGCAAAAAAGAATTGTTCTACAGAAATATAATAATTTATTATTATTCTGTAGATTAAAAATATGTATATAAAAATATATTTATTAAGGTTAAGTAATGGTAAGCAATATATATATCAACGTATAATAAATAATGCAATGACAATAATAGGAACAAAATACTATACATAATTAGCTAATCTTACCAGCTAAATCCGAAATTTGAACAGGCACTTTCACAATATCTGGATTCTTGTCATCCTTCCACAGACAATTGTAAATACATTCTTTATTAAAATCTTGTACATGTTCTGGAGGTTTCTTTGTAAATTCTAAAATTTCTTCTATTTTCACAATTATGACATCTGCTTTGTCATAAGCGTTCAAAAATTTTATTTTTGCGTGTGTTACACAAGCCATAACTGTAAGTTAATTATAATGAAAAATGTTAATTTTTTCAACTTTTTTACTTTCAAGATGCAGTTTATGAACAGCATTTTTTTTAACGAATTTTTGAGCGATTATTTTAATCATGCAAATGTGTGTAATGTGCAGAAAACATATGTATCGTTATAAGTGCCAACTCGATATTTCGTACTTCGCGCGAGCTGCGTCGCTACGCGCTCACCGACGCGTGATCCTCATATTGGTCGACGAGCTCCTTGTTGGTGCCTCTTGTATGCGTGCGCGCGCCGCTCGGTAACTCAAGATTTTACTGTTCGTTGCACGGGAAGGAAGATCGAGTGTATTAATTCTCATTGAAAAAGGACGTTCGTGTAACACATACACCAACGAAAAGTGCGTTTATTCTTAAAACGAGAGAAACACTGTTTTCTCATCCGCGCGGCTGTCGAAGCAGCCTTTCCGAGAGCAAGCGCGGAAGGGCACAAAAGCCCTCATCACGTACACGATCGATCGCCCCCACAAGTACGATACAACATATATGACTGCATAGGATTGTATTTTAGTTATAGATTATATGTTACTTTTATACAACTAAATTACAACTTTTAAATTTTTCTAAATTTTGTAGGTTATAGTTGTCATGCAAGCGCTACTTATTTTAGATTATTTTTCAATTACCAAAAAATGTGGAGACTATAGTAAAATATCTTACCGAGTTTTGGACATCATAGAGATGTAAAAGAATAAATAATATTAATAATTTCAGTTTCAAGACTCGAAAGACACGTGTACACGCACAATTTTAGAGTTATCAAAAACTACAGAAATTAAACAAAAAAAACTGTACTAAATGCGCAAACCTTACCTGTGGAAATCAGAAAATCGGTTAAAAAAGCTTTATTCGCATCGATCGTGCCAGAATCGGGAAACGAAACAGGATTGCGGCCTCGATTGCGGCAGTCAGGCTTTCCAGATCTGAACTCAGTGATGGAAGACAATGGAAGATCGAATCGTGCTCTCTCTCTCGCACACTAAAAAGAACGGGGAGGAGTATGGAGGGGAATCGCTACATCAGAGACGCATAGCAACTTCTTCTCTTCGCATCCCCACCACCTCGCGTGTTAGAAAAAGACATTGCAGTCAGTTGGCGCCACTAATCATTGTGTATGTAAACTGGCTTTATGTCTATGTGCGCATATGGACACAGTTGCCACTTGCGTATCGACGGTCACAAGCTTGCACCACTGTATTGCCTGGCTAAACTCATGTGAGTCGTCTTCCCGCACCATCCGATCTTCTATGTGGCAGAGGTTCGGATCTGGAAAGTCTGACTGCCGCAGTCCCGTTTCGTTCCTCGATTCTGGCGCGATTGACGCAAATGAAGTTTCTTTATAATTGATTTTCCGACTTCCACAGGTAAGGTTTGCGCACTTAGTACTTACAGTTTCTTTTGTTTAATTTCTGTGGTTTTTGATAACTCTAAAATTGCGCGTGTATACGTGTCTTTCGAGTCTTTCGAAACTAAACTTATCAATATTATTTATTACGGATTGTGTATTGTTATTGTACTGATTGATATTGTAAAGATCGGGTAGGACAACGATGCTAGAACTCGGTCCGAGATCTCGATCCGAGAAGTTTGTAGTTAATCAAAGTGCAGTTTTTACGAAAAAGCGGCAATTTCATTGACTATACGTTTCTCGGACCGAGATCTCCGACCGAGTTCTGGCATCATGGACACAAGGGTTAAGCGCGCTCCTAGTGCGTCCACTAGTATAAGCGCGTTAATGTTTAAACGGAAGATTCATATTACAATTAGAGTCAAACTAAATGGATACAAGTTAAGTTACCTTAAAACTAGATCTTACGAGCTAGATACCTTACATTACAAAGTGGATACCTTACAATAGACATACATTACGTTTATTTATATAAATTATTTATAAATACCATTTGCCAAAATCTA